ATGGCAATTTCTCCCGATCCTCGCGGGGCCCTGCGGGAATCCCTGTCACGGGGACAGGGCCGGGAGGAATATTCCTCCCCGCGGGGCGGGGATGGAGAGCATTTTCCCCCCGTGAAATTTCGCAAGAAATTTTCCCCGCCCCGTGGGGCCCCGCAAAGATCCCCATCCTTGCAAAAATTAAAATAAATATAAATTAATTTTATTTTAAATTTAATTCATCTTTCAAACTCAAATTCAAATCCAAACACAAACACAAACCCAAACCCAAACTCAAGTTCAAACTCAATTCAATCAAAATTAAATTTAACCAAATTTTACCTAACCCAACCCAACCCAACCCAATCCATAAAAATTAACCCAATTCATTCCCCTACTTACATTTAACTTTAACCCTAATTCATTTCTCAATTTTCATTTTCACCTTCCCCTCCATTGTTGGTTTAATTTTTGTTTATGTTTTAGTTTAGCTTGGATTAATTTTTGTTTATGTTTGGAACAAATTTGTTAATTGTTAGTTTAGTTATTTATGTTGAATTGATTTTTATTTATATTTGGAAAATTTATATTTGATTTTATAGTTAAAAATTTTAGTTAATTGTATTTGAATTTTTAGAGTTTTATTTATTATAATTGAATTTTAATTAATTATACGTAAAAAACAAAAAAAGTTATAATTTAATATTAATTGGTGGTGATTGGGGATCCCCGCAGGGATCCCCATTCCCCGCGAGAAACGGGGATGGGGGGCAAAATCTGCCTCCCGTCAAAAATCCTCGCGGGAATCCCCGTCCCCACCATTCCCGAGGATCTAAAGAATGGCTAGGGATCTAAGGCACCTCAAGAGTGGCGAGGGATCTAAGGCACCTCAAGCCTCATGGTGTGGCTTGGTTAGGGCTTTGTTAAGAAAGAGAGGAAGCCCTAAATCAAGGGTCTCTAGTTTTTCAACGATGTTGCTTTTTTGAGGTTAATTAAACTAAAATTTGGCAATAAAAAAAGAGAATTGATTTAGATTCTTATTTAGGTGTAAATGGATTTGGAAACAAAGATTATTGTTTCATATCAATAACAATTAAATGCCAAAAAAAAAAAATGTAAACAACAATACTTTAATCATTCTTTATTGTCACTTGTCCACCCTGAGACGTTTTGTTGCCCCAATATCCTTTTAAGCAAAAACTTGAATACAAGTTTGCCAAATTCCCCTCTCTCTTGCCAATAATCCTCTACCATGAACAAGCCAATGTAAATAAACTGATAATTTCTATTGTAATAACTCTTTGAATTAGTTCTAAAAGGTTTTTGTTTATACTTCCTAATAACCCTTATAGGAGTTCTAGCATCCATGCTATTCTTTAATGCAAGGTTTCCTTGCACAAGGGTCTGATCTTCTACTTCTGTCTTCGAAATATGTGGATTGTTGCCTTGCCCTGTGTAGATCACATCATCAAAGGAGTTGACACCATTGACTTCATTCACATATCGCCAAGAATCAACAACACTAGTGGCTAAAATCTTTCCATTTTTCTTAATGTAACTTATACCATGCACAAAATTATAATGCAGACCAACAACACACAGTTCCGCCCTCCATTGGAACTCATCACCAACTTCAACTCCAGGAACTAGCCCCAGCCGCTTGCCGATATTAACCCATTGTTTTTGCTTTTGCATGACCATTGCTACTTTTATGGGAAAAGATGACCCTCGAAACCTTGCTTTTTGTTCAAAAGAGAGCTTGGAGAATAGCCCTCGAAAAAGACTGATAGCCTGCCTAACTTTCACATGATCTACATTGCAATCCTTATTGCTAGCATTTTTGCTAAGAAAATGCTCAACCCCATTAAGAGGAGAATCTTGCTTAAGAGGAAACTCCCTGGAGATTCTCGATAATGGCTCCTCACCATTTCCAACTAATGGCAAGCTAGTTTCTCTAGCATTGGAACAATCATAAAACTCACCTGAAACACAACCATCTAATGGTTTGTCATATGCAATCGACTTTGCATTGGGTGAGTTGTTTGTTGAAACCAAACAGGAATCTCTACCTCCAAGACCTACAGGAAAATCCCTATTAAAAGGAAATTCCTTCAAGATTCTTGGAGAACTAACAACTCCTCCACGCTGATGCTCATCAGCAGATTGGTCATTGGTTGAAGTATTGCCCATTACTGGACCTGAACTTCGACCTCCAGGACAAGGAAAATCCCTCCTAACAGGAAATTCCTTCAAAATTCTTGGGCAAGGGTTAAGAATTCCTTCACCCTGATACCCATTAATGAATCTAATTTCATTTTCCTTATCCATTCTGTTGCTCACTTCCATCCGTTCCAAACACGAATTCCGAACCAAACCAGACGGAAAATCACGCTTAACAGGAAACTTCGACCAGCTTCTTGAAGCATTCCTTGAAACCTTAGAAACAGCAGAATCATCCTCACTCTCCCTGCCCACCACTCCAGGCTGGAAATCATCCATTCTGTTGCTGTCAACCATCGGCTCCGAACCCGAATTCCTTCCCAAACCGGGCGGAAAATCACGCTTAACAGGAAACTTCATCGAGATCCTCGAACTATTTCTTGAAACATGGGAAACTGCAAAAGAATCATCACTCTTCTCCCTTACCAACACTGTACGCCCAAAAACCTCACAATGTTTACGAGATCCATTGTGAGGTTTTGATCCCTTAAGTATCGATAAATTTTTGTCAAATTGTTGATTCGAAACCGCATATGCTGTTAATAATTAAGGAAAATAAATTTCAATCACCCCAAAAAAAAAAAAAATCTAATTTTTACAAAATCGAAACCCCAGAAGACTCATCAGGAAGTAGAAAGAAATCAAGAACAAAGAAGAATATGCGAAACAAACTAAAATCGAAGAACAAGTTGAAGGTGAAATAGAGATCGGGAAAGTGAAAGAAAAGAAATAATACCTAAAAAGGAAGCCATGAATGTGCCAATGCCGGCGGGGGCGACGGACTCGCTCCGTCTTGAGACTCGGTGGTCTGGTACAGGGGAGTTAAGGGATGGAGGAAAGCAAAGCGAGTGAGGAAAACTGTTGGGTTTCCAGTCCGTTTTATAGGCGCCGTTGCTTGTTCCACAAGAAATCGAATTTGGAAACAGAAAGATATTCGGTGTCCATATCCCGTTGAATTTGGGCCTCCGAAGATAAGTATCGTTTGGAATCTGGGATTCTTGGAGTCCCGATTTAAGTTCAAACGCTTATATAATGGGAAAAATACTTAAAGAAGTGCTTCTGTTTCGAGGAAGATATAAAGTTATCCCTATTATTATCATTTATTTGCCAAAAAGTTACCCTTTTATTATATTTTGTTGAGTTTTACACTTATAATTCAACTCAAAATCTCCTATTCTTAATCAGTGGTGTTAGCAACACATAAATTTTGTATGATTAGTGATAGGTGGTAAAAGTCAAATTTAATGTGCTGATGATTTAAGTTTAGTATTAATTACAAATATATATTGTCTAATATAAATAAGAATTTTTCTAACATGTACCATAAAATTATAAGTTAATAATATAATTAATATATTTTTTGGTCATTAAATTATAAAAAAATAAAAAGTTAATACTTTAGTATCAATATCATTTATATTAATTTAATTATTTGACTACTAAAACTAAAGTCATTTTATTTTTTTTTTACCTTATTGTTTAAAAATTCCTTTATTTCCTTTTTTATTTTTTTTTAAACCAAAAAACCTTATAAATAAAGTGTTAAAATCATCAAGGTTGGATGTAGAGGTGGCAAAATAGAAGGTTAAAATACTAATTTGATCTTTCAACTTTAAAATTTGTATCAAAATTATCCCTTAACTTGAATTTTTAGTACTAATTTTTTTTATTAATAAAAGAATCACATGATTTGTTATTTTATCACAAAATTTAATTCTTTTTTAAAATAGTAATGCTATGTAAAATCAAATAGTCATTTTATCATCGTAACTATTTTTATTTACATATCAAATTGATTATAATCAAAATTAAAAAAACTAAATTGATATTTGTAATAAAAGTTTAAAGACTAAATGGATATTTATTTTCAAAGTTTAAGGACTAAATTCATATTATTTTTCAAGTTTCAGGATTATTTTAGTACCAAAAATTAAAGTTTAGGGACTTTCTAAAATTAAGAGACAGTTTTGATAATTTCGGAAGTTAAGGAGTAATTTTGTATGAATTTAAAAGTTGGAGAACCAAATTGCTATCTTAACCAATTAGAACATGATTTGTGAAGTGTTGCCTAACTCGATTTGTGTAAACATGTTAGGCTTTACTTCTTTTGACCCGTGACAAATTAGATATGATGGAGCATGGTTCCTTTTGAGGATATATTTTCTTCTAAATCCCAATGTACGAAAAAAAAAAGCAGTAGAATATTACTGTTCGAAAATTTTCGTTCTATTAGCCCCCTTACTTACTGTCGTATTTATAGGCCTCTTGCTTTAATTTAAGGGTAATTATAAGAGGATAGTTTTTTTTATAATATTTTTATATAATTTTTATATATTATTAAATAAATAAATTTAGATAATATTACGTATTTTAATTAAGTTAAAAAGAATTTGTTATTAAATAATACATAAAATTATATTAAATATTTTACAAAAAGTGTTGCTTTCCGATTATTTTTCTGAATTTATTCCACGTAATTTTGATGTTGAAATGCAAATTTAAAGTCTTTGAAAATAGTATTTGTCTAACCTTATACTTAGGAAATAAATTAAAAGTGTAATAAATATTTTTTTAATTAATTCATATAAAAAATTTTAAAACTTGGCTTTTATTTTAACACTACTAATATGAAAATAATTTTAATTAGTTAATTAATTAAATTAAAATTAAAATTAAAATTTTAAATTATAAAAGAGTATATTAATTATATTCTTAATGAGTATAGGTTTAAAACTATTGATAATAATAAAATTAATTTTAAAAATGAAAATTGGTTAACCACTAGGTTGACTTGCAACTCACTAGAACTGGTTTAAGGTTAGTTTTTATTAGCTTGCAGCAAAACTCCTAAATTCACCCCTCAAATAGAGATAAATGGATAAATCTACTCAAAAAATATAAGGATAAATTACTTTTTCAAATTATAAATCGAGATAAATCATCAATTTTTTAATGTGTGACGTCAAAAATTTGTTTGTCACATAAGCATTTTTAACAAAAAAAATTGATGTCACATATTAAAAAATAAATAATTTATCTCAATTTATAATTTAAAAGAATAATTTATCCTTGTATTATTTTTTTTTTTTTGAGAAGTGAATCTATCATTATCCCATATTTGAGAGGTTGATTTGTGGTTCTGCCATTAACTTACAACTTGTTTGGGACATGACATATTTAACCCGTTACTGGAGCTTCTCTAACCCAAACTCAACCATTTATTAGGTTTAGTCAAATCTATTAATAAACAAGTATTATTTTATAAGAGAGATTTGAAGTTTAATTCTTAAAGTCAATATTCAAAAAAAATTAATTTCTCTTAACACATTAGTTAATGACAATAAAGAGACGTGCCTTAAAATCATTCAGAGAACAATTTATCTCAAGATGTGCAAAAGTAGGCAGAACTCACAAGACTATTTAAACCAACAAATATGAATTCAACAAAGCTCTTGTTGGTCCATTGTTCATTATTATACTCATCTGTTAAACAATCTCTTATTGCAATTTATAGAGAACTTAGGGCCAGCACCTCTTAACATTAAAATATGCCTACCATAAAAAAAGAGAATGTAAAATCAAATGAAGCTAACACTGTATATAAGCAGACCATCACATCCAAGGAGCAAGAAAGCAATGTGTTGCATTCAAGAAAATTCAATCTTTACACGGAAATTGAAGATGTCAAAATCTTGGGAGGATAATGTTAAGTAGTACTCTTTTAAAAGTTGATGGGAAAATCAGGGAAATTTATTTACACAGCTTAGCTCCATGAATCCAAGACAACAAAACCTATATCTCCCTAGTCTAATTTGCTGAAAGATAGACCAAAAGTTTATGTTGGTTACTCTTCCGCAAATCATCTGATAAGGGGAAACTCATCATCAGCTGAGAGCAACCAGGGACTCGTTTGAGCAACAACCTGCCGAATAATGTCCCAATCAATTTCCATGTCAGACCAAAAATGTATAAAAGCTGGTCTAGCAGTCCACATCTTCAATAAACAGTATTAATCAACAAAAATGACATATCTGAACGCTTAGCTATAGGAAAATTAAGCATACTTCAAGCGAAGTGATAAGGGAATTTACGACAGAGATTTCACATATCAGTCAGTAAAGAAACAGTTGATCAGACCACAATTCAGTTATAAAACAGGGTACTGAAACCTTAGCACTCTATTATTGAAATTAAGTCTTAATATATCAATTCTCCACTTAAAAACTAATTCACTTAATATATTATATATAGAAAAAAGAATGACCTCTGACTTAAACAAAGCTCTAACTTCCTGGATTTCACATCACTTGAGCTTGTCAATCAAGGCCTTTAATAGCCATGTTGCAAGATTAATGTTGTGTGATTACATGAATAGTTGAAAGCCCAGGCCATTCATTTTTATTATTCTCCGAGGACAACTAAGGTTAGCAAGCAACACAATCTTCTTTGTTTCAAAACTAGCAAAGTTTATCATCTAAGCAAATCTCAAGAACAAACATGATTTTAAAAATGCAAGAATTCAGAATACCAGGCCACCACGTACAAGAGAACATGCATCCCAACATCTGCACACACACATTGCACAGACATGCACAAACATAAAAGAATACGTTAGATGTTGACAAGGTCTAGGCATACCCAAAACTGTATATCATCTCAAGAAGAGAACAATCAGTGAATGTTGCGATTCAGCAGTCCTTGAAATGATAGGAATAAATCTTTGTTGTCTGTCCCAAATATCTCTTCTGCCTTCCTCAAAGTTTCCTGAAAGAAAAATTAAATACAAACCATTGAACAGGTTCAATAAATAACTGAAGTGCAAAGAAGTGATCAATTTCAAACACAATGTAAATTCAACAACTTATCACCTCTCGGGTTTGCTTTTGTGCATTTAGTTCCTTGATATTAGCCAGAAAAGCACTGAACTGTTCATATGATAGGCGACTCCTGGATGAAAAATAATTTCAGATCAGTTTCTGAAAGCCAGGTCACTCTTCCTAAACATCAGAAGTGAAAATGATTAAATAAATATAGAAGTTCAATAACAAAATTCACCTGGCCTGACGAAAAAATTCTTTCCCATCAATCCGAGGAGTCCGCCCTAAACAATTTTTAGCATGAAGAGGAAACAAGTCAGAAGGAAAGGAAAGAGAATAATAATAACAATGAACTGAATGTAGTCAGCTTGTAGCATAACAACCGTTGTTAAATAAATAAAAAAAATGAAGTTTTAAATTGCCATAGAATTGCAGTTAAGTTTCATACCTGGCAGAGAACGTCCACGAGGAGGAGAGTTTGCTGCTGATGACTGCTGGCTTGATGGGTACCATGAAGAGAGTGAAGCCCGCCCATCATAATGGGGCTTTAAGGGAGATGTTGAACCGGAGGTTCTCTGTGGAGAGCCAGCAGCAGAATAACCTCCAGGGGACCCAGTTGTTGAAATAATTTTTGGAGTTCCAGTAGGAGTATGCCGTGGGGTGATGTATGGAGTCAAAGAAAATCTTTGCACAGCATGTGTTGACACTGCTCACCAAACTACCAGCTTAAAATGCATGCTAGGATAAAACATCTAATAAACGTGCATAATTTTATAATGAATACCAACCCAGAAATCAGAACAATACTAGAATATCTTATGGCACCACAGAATAAGAAAATCCATTGCCATATCCGATTTTATAGCCTATCTTTCAACTCAATAGACATTTTCATTTATCAATTGGCTAATTCTTTCTTCTTCCCTTTCCTTTTCAATGGTAACTGCAAATCATCATTGTTAGTTGAATTGTTCTTCAAACTGGTTTATTACACAGTTTCTTAGATTTTTATTACTTAATTTGATTCTTTAATTTCTTGCACAGAAAAAGTTTTGTTTGCCTTGTCTTCCTTTA